GGCCTGTCTCGCAGGGAGCTCCCCTGCGCTGCTCGCGCCCGAGGCGCGTGCGACCGCCCGGGGGCCGCAGCGCACCGCGCGGCCACTCGGGCGGCTACACTCCAGGCGATGCTTAAGAAAACCCAAGTTTTCGGCCAGAGTCTCGATTATTCTTAACGTTTCAGTGTAAATCCCAAGATTTTGATCGAAGTTCTGGGTTTTTATACAAGTTCTGAGACTATGAATTTCTTAACCCATGATTTCTTAAGCATTTCGCACGGTGTACTTCGTCCCGTGCGGCAGGCATGCCTCGGCCCACTCCCGGTCGGTCTGGGCCTCAACCCGCATCACAGGGATGGGCAACCTTCCCAAGGGTACCCTTGCATGCTTGCCTCCTTGGTCCATCCTTGGCCGCTTTCGTCGGCCGCGCCCCGCTCGAGAAGCTTCGACATGGGCGCCCAAGGCCCCTGCATCCTGATCACGCATCCTGATGGGTCGACTGTAAACGGTCCCATGAGCCCTGGAGGACACGGTCGAAAGCCTGCAGGTCCGCGAGCTACGCGCGCAGGAGGTGGTTCAGAAGGTTCTGCGCTGTCCAGTGGAGCGTAGCGCCAGCCTCTTGGACTCCGGCCAGCGGTCACGGCGTCGTGCAGAGTCTGGCCGAAAGCTCCCAAGGCAACTGCCACCTTGCCCATGGCCCGGGCGCCGCCTCCGGAGCCTGCTGCTAGCTCCTCCCAATCGTCGTCCTGGCGGTGCGTGAGGCCGCAGCCGAGCACGCGGAGCTCGTCCACCACGGAAGGCCACAATGCTGGGGGGGCAGTGGTCGTGGCCTGGAGGATGCCACACTTTCGACTTGCCCGCGTGGAGAGCAAGCCCCCAAGCGTTGAGTCTGCCGGAGAGGTTTTTCGAGGAATTGCGCAGCTTCTGCGGCTGGCACAACTGCAACGGCGTCATGGAGATATGCCATGACGAGCCACTCTGGGGAGCCGGCGAAGTGCTGCAGAAACGTCTGGTGGAGGGCCGCCGCGTGCGCCGCAGGGCTGAGAGGGCAGCCTTGAGGCACGCAAGATCCAGTGCTCATCGGCGTCACCCCAACATACTACAACTATGTGCGGGTCGCCCCTCCAGGGGCAACGCGCGCACCGTGAAATCTTATAGCATATGCGTCGTGGTGGGCGCTTTTTGGCCGCACCGCTCGGGACACGATACACCACGAGATTGGTATATATATATATATATATATATATATATATGTGTGTTCGGGTCGGACGCACGCCTCCAAGGAGAACATATAGTAATAGTATGTCCTTGTGCCTCCCATGCTCAGGTCGTGCATATCACTCCCACCGGCGCACCAGGGGCCCACCGCGGGCTTCGCGCAGAGCCGGGCCAGTCAGCCTCAGTGTACTCGGGCAGAGGCGCGCCGAGGGAGGCCCAGGACGGCCCGGCGGGAGACCGTGCCGAAGGCGCTGGCGACGTCGACGGTGATGATAAAGGTACTCCCTTGCCTGTTCGAGGGCTCCCCGGACTCCCAGAGGTAGAGGGGGTGCCTCCCAACAGTCAGGGGGCGTCTACACAGCTGCCATGTGGTTGCGCCTCCCCCGAAACAGACAGCGCGTCTCGAAAGGAACTGCTGTTTTCAAGCTGTTGCCAGCCCCCCCCCCCAAAAAAAAAAGCAGATGCTCCCTCGCCCGTCGTGCTGCTCCCTTGCCTGTCGCGCACCGCGCTCTGCAGCGCGCGGGCCCTGACGTCCGCGCCCCGAGGCACCCCGAGCCCGTGCTGGAGCCAGCCGGCGGCGGCACGAGCGGCATCCGCGGCGCAGGCGACGAGTCCCGTGAGGGCCGCGGGCCGGAGGGGAGCGAGGACCGTGGGGGGCCGAACCCCGCAGGCGGGCCTGCGGGGCGCGGCGATTGTTCCCGTGTTGAGCCACTCGTCCACGATCGGCGGCGCGGTGCCTTCCACCCGCGCGAGGGCGGCGTCGGTCGGGGCGGCGGCGGCTTGGGCGTCACCGGCGACCACGCGCTGGCATTCGTTGCGACAGCCATCCAGCCCCCGAGCGCGACCAGAGCGGGCCTTCGGGGAGACCTTGACGATGGCATCATCACCCAGGCATTCGCGCGTGTCTTCCTTCATTCGTTTCGGGGCATGTTTTCCCCCTCTTTCTCCCTCCTCCCCCTCCTCAATATTTCAATACTTATCCTCCCCCACATTCCTCCCCTCTTCCTTCCTTGCCCATATTTCAACACCTCCTCCCTGGTGTGATGCGGGTCGCTCTCTTTAAGCTCGAATGCCATTTCTCGGCCGACGACGCCTCGGAGCGGGGTATCCACCCAAGTTTTTACTTGCGCAATGCCCTGGCTGATTCTGCTGCCGGCTCCATCGCAGATGCATGCTTGGTCTTGGACAGCGGCTAAGGTACATCGATTGGTGTGATGAATTAGCGGGCTCCAGGCGTTGGCATTTAGCCGTGTCTTTCAAAGCCAGTGCCGAAGCCGACCGCCAACGTCCTAAATTTGATTGGCCTCCTGCCCAGCGAAACGCATACGTGTGACGAAGAGGCTGCAGCGGTTGGCGGAGCAGTCTAAACATATTTTTACGACTGTCTCCGACCCGACCGTCGTTTGCACGACCTGTGGTTGCAGTGTGCCGCGAGGCAGGCTCGCAGATTTCTGTCAGTGCGCTGTTGGCCAGATGCGGCCACACGCGATGGCGCTGCGGGGGCGCCGATCGCACGAAAATCACGCCTCGCGAATGCCGATGGTGCAGACGTGCAGACACGGCATGCCGCTTGACGTGCGGGTGTTTCGCGACGGGTGCAGTGCGTCCCCTTCGGCGGCCCCTGCAACAAGGTCCGAGCACGCCATAGGCAGCAGGCCCTGGCACGGATTGCGCGTGGCATGCTTCCCGGTTTCTCGCGAACCGTGTTTCAGCAAGAAGGAGGCCAGCGGCGTGGTGGCAGGCGCCACGTCTGTTAAGCATGGCTTGATTGCCATCGAAGAAGAATTCCTCTTCCTCTGGACCCACACGGTGCTTTTGGCGATTTCGTGGGCCGTTTTCGTTTCGACTTCGTTTTGCGGTCGTAAAGGCGGGTGGATTCGAGACAAAAGCGAGGGAAAACGAAAACAGCACGAAAACGAAACGCACCGTTCAGGTTCAGCCCTCCTGATGTAGCCTGGAGGCCATCCACGAGGCTCTGGCCAAGCGGACGCTCCCCGAGGCCCCGTCCCCGGGGGACCCGCAGCTTGCCTCCAGGCCCCCACCAAGCCCTGCTCCTCCTCCTCCTCCTCCTCCTCCTCCTCCTCCTCCTCCTCCTCCTCCTCCTCCTCCTCCTCCCCCCCCTTCTCCTCCTTCCTCCTCCTCCTCCTCCTCCTCCTCCTCCCTCCTCCTCCTCCCTCCTCCTCCTCCTCCTCCTCCTCCCCCTCCTCCTCCTCCTCCTCCTCCTCCTCCTCCTCCTCCTCCTCCTCCTCCCCCTCCTCCTTCTACGCGCATCGGCTCGCCTCACAACTCAGCAGTGCGAGGGTGCGGGCCTCGACGATTCGAGCCGCGATTCGATGGCCATTCTGAGGCCCCAATGTACAGTTCTGGGCCCAGAGGTGAGGCTTGAGCTAGGCAGGAGAACCCCTTTGGGCACGCTCGACCTCCTCCTCCTCCTCCTTGCCGAAGTATTCCAATGGTTGAGCAGTCCAGCCCTCGAGCCGAATTGTACGCGCTCTTTATGGTGGTTGTTGGTGATGTAGTTTGCTGTTCTGATTATCGGCCACTGGTTCGTGCTTTGAGACGGCCACGTGCTCACGTAGTTGCCTCCAGTTCGATGAGTGATCTCTTGTCTCTGATCTGGTCGTTTCTCGTTCGTCGCTTTGGTCGAGGTCCTGTGGACCCAAGGCCAGTTTGCGGCACATCGGCGGGCCCAACGCGCCATAGGTGAGGAAAAGTAGATTCTTGAACTGGTGTGCCGAGTGTTTTGCGGGCTGGGCTGCCGAGACATGTAGTCATTCTCTGGAGCAGTCTGCTTTGACGGGCGTTGGCCGACTCACCGCTGCGACCCTGGATCGGTTGCTTGCCGTGCACAGAGATATAGTCTTAAGTCGGGCATGTCCCTCTACAAAAGGAGTATCCAAAAATAATCCAACAATAGTCTGGGGGCGAGGTTTTGATTTTTTAAACTATTTTGGGGCATGCGTTGGGTACTGTTTCATTTTTCGTCGAGCATCTGCCTGTAGGAGGTCTCGCCCGACTTGCAGGTAGCCCAGGCAAGCTCTCGTCGAGTTTCTGACGGGCTCGGCCGCTCGCCTCCCCGACCCCTTCCTCTTCCCTCCTCCTGCGCGGGACGTGATCGAGGGCGGAGAGCCGGCCGGCCACGAGCCTGTCAAGACGGGCGGCGCTCTCAAGCGGCTGATCGTGCCCTAGGGCACGCAGAGGGTCCTCCTCCGAGCGGCGCCGCTCGGCCCGCGCGCGCGCGCCGGGGCCTGGCCCTTTCGGGCCCCGCCCGCGCGCGCCGGCCGCGGCCTGCGCCCGACGACCCCTCGCTAGCGCGGAGCGGGCGACCATGTGTGATCGCAAGTCCTCCCTGCGCCCTGCGCGGCCAAGTGCGCGCTTTCTGCCGTGGACCTTGTGTTGGTGCTGGGCGCTTTCTCTGTTGAGCCCCCCCCAGGCACCTTCTGTACCCCACGCGCGCGCGCTGCGGCGCGCAGGCTTCAGGTGCTCCGATGGGGCGATTTGACGTGACAGGCGTGGCGTCCATGTCGCAGTTGTTGCACTGAGCCTTTCTTCTCCTTGTAAGGCCACTGCCCGGCATCCCACAAAAGCTGGGAACGACGTCGTGCCCCGTCTGTCCAGGGACCTCCCCCCAGACGCGATGTGATACGTTCGTGCCCAGGCATGACCTGTGGTCTCCACTGGCTTCTGGATCGGAATCCTCCTCATCCTCCCTCCTTCCCTCTTTCCCTCCCTCCCTCTTTCCTTCCCTGTCCCGCGCGCGTTTCCATGCGCACGGGGGCGCGGCGACGTCGCCCCCGCGCCAGGGGCCGCTGACGGCGCAGCAGATCCACCAGTGGGCGCGCCAGCCGACGCGCAGGCGTGGGCCGCCGCGCGCGCCCCCCCTCCCTGCGCGAGGGGGCGACAGGGGCGGAAAGGGAGGAGGTGGAGGTCAGCCACGCGCGCACGTGGGGCACAATGGAAACCCGTGCCGAGAAACACCCTGCTTGCCTCTAGGGTGCCCCGCGTTTCTTGGGTATCGATGGCCTGCGATGGAAAGCGTGACGTTCCCAGACCAACAATCCAAGTACGCCCTGGGGCCCCGGGGTTAGGCTTCTAGTGGAAAGTTTCGTGTGACCGAGTTCCTATTGTATGGGGGAGAGGGAGAGGTTTCGCATAAGCACCCTCGTTTCTCAAAATGCGCGGGCCTTCTCTGTAGATGTAGGGCATGTGTCTTCTAAGAACCAGCCTCGTTTTATGAAGCGCTTTCCCCTCCCACTAACCCGCTTGCGCGCGCCGCCAAGGAGGGTCAATCGGGCACGCGCTGACATGGATTAGTGATCCGTGGATTGGCGCGTGGGCGCCAGGTCCACGTGCTGGGGAAGGTATCCCCCGAAGCGCGAGGCCAGTGCCGCCCGTTTTGGCGACGGAACGCACCGACTCTCCACAGGAACGGACCCACGCGTCGTTAATCCACGCGTGCGTTACCTCGCCCCAGAGAGCGAGAATGATTGCAACATCGCCGAGGGTAAACTAAATAATGGCACACCCCTTGGCGTGGCTGTGCGTGGCAAAAGTGACGGGCTTGATCGGCAATTGTACAGGCGTGTTCGAAGCATTCGGGCCACTGGGGGTCACCGCATTCGGGTGCAATCGCACCATTCAAGGAGGGATGAGCCACAGGAGGAGGAGGAGGAGGAGGAGGAGGAGGCGGAGGAGGAGGAAGAGGAGGAGGAGGAGGAAGAGGAGGAGGAGGATGGGAAGGATGACGAGGACGAGGAGCAGGAACAGGAGGGGGAGGACGAGGACATGGAGAGGATGGGGGAGATGGGATAATGGGGAGGAGGAGTAGGAGGAGGAGGAGGAAGAAGATGAGGAGAAGAGCTGACTCACATTGTGCATTCATGAGCGTGTCGGTGGCGAGGCGAGTGAAAAGGAACAGGCTGTGGAGGAGGAGGAGGAGGAGGAGGAGGCGGAGGAGGAGGAAGCGACGGAGGAGACGAATGAGAAAGAGCAGTGCGAACCCAGAACTCATCAACGTTGTTGGAATAAACGTCTCTCCAAGCTCCTTCGCCACAGGCCCTTACAAGGATTTCGTTTCCACGGCGGGAAGTGCACCGTTGGGGGACAACCGTTTGGAGATCGTGAAGCGCGCCAGAACACCATCCTTGGGACTCCAACACCACGAATCAACTTGGCTGGTGCGTCTTGACGATCCCCAATCGTGCCAGAACACCAGTCTTGGGGCTTCAACACCGCTACTCAACGTAACTGTTGCGCCTTGCCCATCCAGGGCCATTCCAAAACATTGGTTTTGGTACATTGACCATGGGAACGTGTAGAAGTCTTCCAAATATTTAAGGCGAATGCGCGCAGCGCTAAGGCGAGAGCCACATCTTGGAAATGAACCGCCCTCAACCCGTCAAACCCTGGCAAATGTTTAAGACGAGTGTGCGCGGCGCTGAGGCGAGAACCACATTTGGAAAGGTACCCGCTCTCAGTCCGTGAAACTCTTCACCGTTTTAAGGCGAGTGTGAGCGGCGCTAAGGCGAGAGTCAGATGTTGGACGCTTAGCTGCCCTGATACGCCCGTTTTGAAACGCAACGCGCGACGTGTTCAAAGCGTGCGTGTTCATATCTTGCCTGTTGTTTCAACATGTTGGCTCACGTTTTGGCGAACGTATCAAGCCAAGCGTGCGTGTTCAAACTATATGCTGAACTCCGTGTCGACACGCTACGAGTTGCGTGTTGAAACGGCTGCGATGTTTAAAGGTTCAGGGTCGTAAGTGGTAGGGAACTCTCAGGCGAAACGCCCGAGCCGCCCTTCCGACTGGCCTCGGGGCGCGAAAGGGAGGTGCTATTCATAAGGGGAAGGAGTGGAGGAAGAGAACGGACAAAAAACAGCAGGATGAGGATGAGGAGCGAGGATGAGGAGCGAGGAGGAGGAGGAGGAGGAGGAGAAGAAGAAGAAGAGACTGGAAGAGGAGGCCGCGCAGGAACACTTACTTCGAGCGTGGTCCCCAGAGGACCCAGGATTCCTGGAACCGCTGAAAAGTTGGCCCTCGAGCCTCGGCGAGGAGGATGTGCAGGAGGAGGAGGAGGAGGGGGACGAGTATACGGAGGCTGACGAGGAGGAGGACGACGAGCTGGACGAGAAGGTCCAGGATCAGAAAGCTCTTCACCGGAGCCGCTGTCCAAGTCCAGCTTTAAACTCACAAGCCGACGCAAAGTCATATGATTTTAAAGGAGAGGCCTATTCAATGACAGCTATCGCCTCCGCACGGCCAAAGCGCTACAGGCTCAAGAGGCAACGATAAGGAAAATCACAAGATGAACTCTTCACTGAGTGGATCAGATACAAAAAGGTTTCTGCGCTCGTTGCTGGATCAGAGACCTGGATTTCATAACCATTGGCTCGAGTCGGCGCTGTTCCTTGCTAGAACACGCCTTAGTTCCCGAGCCAACCTCAGTGGCGCCTGCGTTGTCGGGGCCAGAATGGATTCAGACGCGCCAATGAGAAGGGCGATGGCCCAGTATCGTTTCACCGACCCGTATCGCCATTCCTTTCCATCCAGATCCCCACCATCTCAGCACCCCAGTTGGGGATGTACCCTTCAAAACCCGAAAGAAATGGCCTATATCCCCATCTAGAGGGGTAGATCGGCCAGTGGGGCCCAGGCCACGCCCAATGGGATAGGGGTCGGTTGAACGATGCTGAATAGCGCACGCCCTTGTCGGCGCAGAGCACTGGATGGTCCTGCCTAGCCCCTCGCAGACTGATCTCTGCGAGGGAGCCCGACGCAACAGTGAAGACCCTATGCTCTGGGCGCTCACGGCCATGGAACAGCAAGGATGATGGGACATGGTGATCGTTTTTCATTGTTTTGCCGATCGGCGCGGGCCCCCAAACCCCGCCTTCCCATCCCCCATGGAGTAGGTCTTGCCTTTTTGGGGGGGCGCCTGTTTCGAGCGGGTGGAGTCTCCTCCAGAGGCAGCGCTCTTGCAAACCGTCGCACTAAGCAGGGGTCTGGAGCCAGAACCCCCCCCTCCACCACCGTTCCGCCCAATGTCGAATCGCCGAATAAAAAGACGCTCACACGTCGATGATGATGGGCGGGCCGGCGGTGGTCCCTCATCGGCGCATTGGAAACTTTGCAACGTCGCGATGTGGGGCTCGGGACTTCGCTGGAGAACTTTACGCAGTGGCAGGGCTCCTGGCAACCAGCTCCGCAATGCCAGGATTGCGCGGCAACCTTTCTGTCCCCAATCAGTGCTTGCACTGACGGGGTCCCAGCGGAGATTCCCCAATCATTGCTTGCATTGAGGGGGTCCCAGTGAAGGTTGAAAGATTTGGCGAAAGTGCCGGGCCGATTTCGGTAGGCGGCCAGGTTCCCATGTTCCCGGTTCCGGGTTTCCGGGTTCCTGGCGGCTGGTTCCGGACCGATGTCGGTGGGCGGCGGGTTCCCGGGTTCTTGGGCGATCTCTTTATCGATCGGTCTCACCATCGACCTCATCACCCACTTCTCGATTGCTCTCACAGTCTATCTTACTGTAGATCTAAGGAGTGATCTCATCTCACGATCGGAAAGAGCGCGTTCTTTGGTCGCTCGGACGGGGGGGGGCTTGGAACCGGACCCCCCCCCCCCTGGATGGAGATGGAGGGGGAGGGGGGGGTTCGAACCCCCCCCCCTTCCCGTGACGGAGAGGGGAGGGGTTCCAACCCCCCCCCCTGCTTCCCTCTCCTCGGGCTGCTGGCGACGGTGGCGGGGACGACGATTTCCAATTCTGGTGCGGCGCCGGCGCCTGCGGCGGCGGGCGGCGGTGGCAGGGAGCATCGACGAGGACAACGGTGGTGGTGGGGTGAAGGTGGTGGGTTGTGGTGGTGGTGCTGGTGGCGGTGGTGGTGGTTGTGGTGGTGGTGGTGTGGTGGTTTGTTGTGGTGGTGGTGGTGGTTGTGGTGGTGGGTGGTGGTGGTGGTGGTGGTTTGGTGGTGGTGTGGTGGTGGTTTGTGCTGGTGGTGGTGGTGGTGGGTTGTGATGGTGGTGGTGGTTTGGTGGTGGTGTGGTGGTGGTTTGTGGTGGTGGTGGGTTGTGGTTGTGGCGGTGGTTTGTGGAGGTGGTGCTGGTGGTGGTGGCGGCGGTGGTGGTGGTATGGTGGTGGTGGTTGTGGTGGTGGTTGTGGGTTGTGCTGCTGGTAGTGGTGGTGGTTGTGGCGGTGGTGGTGGTGGTGTAATAGATTGTGGTGATGGTGCTAGTGGTGGTGGGTTTTTTGTGGTGGTGGTGGTGATGGTGAATTGTGGTGGTGGTGGTTGTGGTGGTGTGGTGGTGGTTTATGGTGCTTTGTGGTGGTGGTGGTGGGTTGTGGTGGTGGCGGTTGTTTGTGGACGTTTGTTGTGGTGGTGGTGGTGGTGGCGGTGGTGGTGGTGGTGTGGTGGTTTGTGGTGGTGGCGGTGGGTTGTGCTTTGTTTTAGATATGCGCTCTTTGGGTGGGCAGTTTTGGTGTTGTGTGCTTTCTTGTATTGTCTGTTATCTTGGGTGTGTGCTGTTTGTATTTTTTGTCATTTTTGTTTTCCTTCTTGGGGTTGTTGCTAATTTTGCGTTTTTGTTCCTTTTTTCATGCTTGTTTTTTTTTTTTGATTTTCTGTATTTGTTTTTTTTAATTTTTTTTTTCTGTTTTTATCTTGCTGCTGCTTATGTTGCTAGTTTCTATTCTTTCTGCTGGTAGTGGTGGTGGTTGTGGCGGTGGTGGTGGTTGTGTGGTAAATTGTGGTGGTGGTGGTGGTAGTGGTGGTGGGTTTTTGTGGTGGTGGTGGTTGTGGCGATGGTGAGTTGTGGTGGTGAATGTGGTGGTGTGGTGGTGGTGTGGTGGTTGTTTGTGGTGGTTGTTGGTTTGGTGCTGTTGTGGTGGTGAGTGGGGTTGGGCGGTGGTGGTGGTGGTCGTGGTGGTGGTGGTTGGTAGGGAGGTAACGTTGGTGCGTCTCGCCTGTCGCCGGCGCCAGCGCGGGCATGTGGCGGCCTCCAGGGCAGGCGCTGGACGCGAGGGGGGGGGGGGGGTTGAACCCCCCTTCCCCGCACCCCCCTTGGCCTGCCTCTGGTCATCGTCGTTGCGTCCCCGCCGTTGGCGCTGCTGGCGGCCGCCGGCGCCGGCGCCGAGGGGGGAGGGGACGGAGGGGTTTCAACCCCCCCCCTTTGAGAGGTGGGCGGGGAGGGGGGGAGGGGGGCTTTGGGAGGGGGGGGGTTTGGGGGGGAGGGGATAGTCCCCCGGATTTGATCGACGGCGCCGAGTGTTGGGGGGGGGGCCACCCCCGGGTTCGAAACGCGCCGCCGAATGTACCCAAGGCAAGCGCCCGTGAAATGCGTTCTCTCCACGAACGATCTCACTGAATCGACTGGTCGATCGGTCTCACGATTGACCTTACAATCGTCTTTACTATCGATCCCACTTTCGGTCTCACCATCGATTTCACAGTCGATCTCACTATCCATATCACGAATTCACCAACCATCAACTGATTGGGGCCTTTCTCTGGTGTGATTCGAAAGATTAACTTGTCAGTTGGGAGTTATCCGGGGATCCTGCGATCCCAGGCCTTCTCTGTGCTAGGGTTCTACGGGGGGAGGCTTGACTGCGCCAGGAGATGCCTTAGGGACCGGTCTGCGGTGGGGGGGGGCGCAGTGCCCTGCGCGCGCCCTGCGACCCACATCAAACTTCAAGGGTGGCTGGATCGCAGAGCGGCTGTACACGCATGTCCTGAAATCTATAGTGCGCAGCCCTTCCGACCTCCTTGGTATTGGCTCACTCGTGTCCGCGCTTGCAGCCCTGGCCGAGCAGTTCGACTTGCATGTTTCGTTGTGGTTTGTGGTTGAGGTTTGTTTCAACAAGTGGAGGGATCAGGGAGGGCGGAGGGTCGTTTTGTCCTCCTCCCCTTTCTCCTCCTCTCTCCTCCTTCCCTTCCCCTTTTCACCTGTCTATGTGTTGTGTTGTTATTACATTTCTCTCTCTCTCTCTCTCTCTCTGTTGCTCGCTCTTTGTTTATGTGTGCTTCTCTCTATGTATCCCCTTTTTTTTTTTCTCTCTCTCTCTCTCTTTCTGCCTTCTCTTTATTTCACTTGTCCTTCCCTGTATATGTACACATGCGGATAATATATTCGTCTGTGTCGCTATCCCTCTCCCGATCCTTGTAGTATACGCGCTCTACCGATACACTCATGAGCATGCATGCATGCATGTATGCATGCATGCATGCATGCACCAATACATAAAGACAGGCATACAGACATACATGCATACGTATGCATGCATGTGCACATACACATACACATCCATCTAAACATACGTATACATCTACATATGCACATGCATTAATGCACAACCATGCACATACATACACCTATACATCTATGTAGACATACCTACATACATACACACATGCATATAAACATGCATACAGACATACACACAAACATACACATGCACATACACACACCTACACACATACATGCATACATACATGCATGCATACGCACAGCCACACCCATACATACATACACATATGCATGCAGACATACATACATACATGCGCGCGTATGTACATACGAGTGTACACATGCACACATGCCTAAATGCATACACACATGCAATGATCTATATAGATGTATGCATCTATGCATGCACGCATGCATGCATACATACATACATTCATACATACATGCATACACACATGCACGCAGACACATACATGCGTGCATGCATACATACATGCATACGTACACGTATCCATCTATACATATATATATATGTATGTGTGCATGCATGCATATACACACATACATACATGCACACCTACATACATACATACATACATACATACATACATACATACATCCATACATACATACATGCATACATACATACACACATATATATACATACATACCTACATACATACACACATACATACATACATACATACCTACATACAGACACACATGCATACATCCATACACACATACATGCATACATACATACATACATACATACATACACTCATACCGGCACACATGCATGCATGCATGTATTTATACGTATACACGTGAGATCGATATGCATATACGTGTATACGTTTCATGTGCATAGGTTCATGCATGTACACGTACCATACACCTACACGTACACTTCCTCTATGTACACCTATCATTAACAGATGTACGTGCTCTTACATGTTTATGTCCTCCTCCCCCCCCCTCCCCCCTCCTCCATTCTCCTCGTCCCCTCCCGCCTGTTTTTTTCTGCCTCCTCCTCCAGGCCGAGGCGAGAGCCGAGGAGGCGGAGGAGGAGGAGGAGGAGGAGGAGGCGGAGGAGGCCCGCCCTCTCCTCAGGCCGACCACGCCCCGACGGCCCCGCACGCCCACGAGGCCGCCCGGGAGGCGGAGGAGGCCCCGCCCGCGGAGCGCCCCGCTGCCGACGGCGCAGAGGAGCCCGCGGCGCCCGCGGAGGCGGCCCGGCGGGGCGGCCTCGGCGCGGAGGGCGGCGGCGGCCACGGCGGCGAGGGCGAGGACGCCGAGGAGGGGGAGGAGGAGGCGGCGGAGGTGGAGGGGAAGGGGGAGGAGGAGGTGGAGGAGGAGGAGGAGGAGAAGGATGATGATGATGATGATGATGATGATGATGATGATGATGATGATGATGATGCTGATGATGCCGATGATGATGATGACGATGATGATGATGATGATGATGATGATGACGATGATGATGATGATGATGATGATGATGATGATGATGATGATGATGATGCTGATGATGATGATCAAGATGATGATGATGATGCTGATGATGATGATGATGATGAGGAGGAGGAGGAGGAGGAGGAGGAGGAGGAGGAGGAGGCAGAGGAGGAGGAGGCGGAGGAGGAGGAGGAGGAAGGCCAGATTTCGGGAGTCCTGCAGCGGATTCTCCGCCGGATCCCCAGGTGAAAATCTTGGTGGATTCTCGGCGAGTGTTGTGGGTCTTTTTGGCTCGGTACATCTCCCATTCTTGTAGATCCAAGAAATCCACCCAAGATCCGCTCCAAATTCACCAGCATTTTCGCCAGAGGGGGGGGCGCTCGTGCCACCTAGTGCTCACTGAGACCCATCTTGGGAGTCTTCGGCCCCGCAATCCGCCGGCAAATTCACCGGCAGGTTTCGCAGGGGGCGTCTTGGGCCCTCTGGACATTGGAAGGTATGATTTCCAATTCCGTCAGGCGGAGTTGGACCAGGGGCCCACTGGAGCCCCCCTTGTGCCCCTCTTGGACCCTCTCGGGGTCTTGGGATAACCTTGGGTCCTCCAGGGCCGTCGCCCCCAAAAGGGTACTAAACGTGATCGTTTCAAATTTCGCAGGATGGTGTTCGACCTGGGGCTCACTGGGACCCTTCTTGGAGTCCTCTTGCGGCCCTGAGAGGGCCATCATGGGGTCCTCCGAAGCCGTCTTAGCGGTCCCATGGGCCGCCAAGAGAACATGGGAAGTTATCGCTTCGAACTCCAACTCCGCCAGGCGGAGTTGGATCATGGGCTCACTGGAATCCCTCCTGGAACCTGCTTGGGACTCCCGTGGAGCCCTCCTGGGGCCCTCTGGAGCCATCTTGGGGGCTTCGAGCGGCCCCGAATAGGGCACTGGAAATTATTGCTTCCAACTTCGTCAGGTGGTTTGGATCATCTGGGCCCCTCTTCGGGGCCTCCTGCGGCCCTGAGAGGGCCCTCGCAGGGGCTTCCCAGGGCCGCCTTAAGGCTGGAGGGCCCCATGAGGCCCGCGAGGCAGCACCAGAAGTGATGGCTTCCAACTCCTCCAGCTGTGGTTCTTCGCCCCCCTTCCCTCATTCCTCTCTTGCCTCCTTCTCTCAGGAGTGAAAGAAACACACAGACACAAGTAATCGTCAATTCCTCTGAAAATATGGGAAGTGGGGGGAAGACAGAAACCCCGAACATATGGGGAAAATATGGGGGATATTTTGATTTGTGTGTATTTATTTGTGTGTCCCAGGGCCCCTTCATTCTCGCAGATTGTCTACGTGCTCCTTCTCCCTCCGTGCCCATTTCCATCACCCCCCGCTCCCAGCTCATTTCCCGTATTTCCTCTCCGCGTGGCTCAACGCTCGTTTTGAAACACTGAAGGGCTCGATGCCCTCAGCGGAGCTGGACCCTCCTGGTTGCTTTTGGTTTCGTTTTTTCGTCGAGCTCGGACATGTTCGCTGGGCCTCCTCTTGTTGGCCCGCACGATGACCCTGGACTCTTGATCAGCGCCAGGCTGGGCGGCCTGACGTGGTTGGCTGGGCAGCCCTCCTGCGTCTCGTCGCGGAAAGAGAGGCACGCGTGGTGGGAGACGCACGTCTTGCCTCGCTCGTGCACTCCGCACCCGCGAGAGAAGTTGGATCAGAACACGGGCCGCGTCCGGCTTCTGCTTGGAGCCCGCGCCTGGGTGCGGTGAGCCTCGCGTCTTCTCGGCCCGAGGAGGAGGAGGAGGAGGAGGAGGAGGAGGAGGAGGAGGAGGAGGTCTGCTTGCGTCACAAGGTCGTCCTTGCCCCCGCACGTGGCTCCGGCGAAGGCTTGTGCGTCCGTCTTCCGCGTGGCTGCTTTCCACGCGCTGTTTCCGACGAGCCGCGGCGTGCTTTTCAGCCTGTGCCAGGGGGGGCTCTTGGTGTCCGCGGCCAGCGTTGCAACCTGGCCGCGCGCCCTGCCCGCGAGCCCGGCCTGCGGGCGGATGGGAGGAGGGAGCCAACTGAATAGCCTGGTAGACATTGGAAGGAGCTGAGGAGAAGGAGGACGAGGAACGGGGCAGCGGGGGGGGAAAGAGAGCAGAAAGACTGGCCCCTGCGGGCGTCCCCATGTTGTCGCCTCGTCTTCGCACCGCTGGCTTCGCTTTGCCTGCGCTGGGGCGATCAGAGCTCCAGCCTGACCTTGTGGCGTGCGTCCATGAGCTTGTCCTGCCGAGCTCGCTGTGGCCGGATGCGACGGCGCTCGCTCGCCTCCTCCTCCTCCTCCTCCTCCCCCCCCTCCTCCTCCTCCTCCTCCTCCTCCTCCTCCTCATCCTCCTCCTCCTCCTCCCCGTAGCCATTTTGGCTCAAGCAATTTGGGCTGGAGCACCAAGTCCCTCGCCCCCGTGCGCAGGGCACGTGTTTCGGCCTCTCCTGCACTTCCACGCAGTGCTTGGGGGATTTCGCTCCCTGCTGGGCCCACAGCAGGAGGCGTCAACGAAGACAGGAGATTTCGCGATGGGGGGTGCATCCAAGTACCCCTGGAGCAGGTGCATCCACTGCAAGACATGCGAGTACAATTCCAAGCTGATAGCCAACGACAAGAAGTGCCTGTCCTGTGGCAAGCAGGTGAAGCTCTACGACCCGTCCCAGTCCAGAGCGCCGTCCGTTGATAGGCGCGTCTCTTTCGATGGCGACGTGGAGCACATCGACGACCAGGAGAGTGAGGCAAGTACTCCAGGCAAAGGTCCTCGCCACCGCAGCCCAGGGAGGCGGCGCGCCAAGGACCAGGCCACCAAGAACCTCGACGGACTGTTGGCCAAGGCTGCCGAGTGCAGCAACGACCCCGAGCTGAAGGCAGTCCTGACCGAGCAGCGCACGAAGCTGAAGACTCAGGCTGCGGCAGCCGAGTTCTCAGCCGTGGAGTCGGTGAAGCGCGCCGACGGCGCCTGGAGGCAGGCGAGCCATCGGCACGAGCAGATGGTGAGCCAGGTGCTCCGCCTCAGGCGCCAGCTCCTGAGCGCCGAGGCCAAGGAGCAGGAGGCCGCCCTGGCGCTAGCCAAAGCTGAAGCGGATAAGAAGAGTGCTACGCGTGCCCTTGCTCAAGCAGAGGGCGTCAGGGCAGCTGTTGACACGGCTGAGCAGGGCAAGGGCATGCACTTTCGGGTTCACATGAACCCCGAGGTTTTCGACAAGTTTGAGGAGTGGGAGTGCGAGGAATCGGACAAGATCGCCCTCCGCAATCTCAAGAAGGAGCTGCAGGGTATGCAGGAGTCCTTTGCCGCGAAGGACTCGGAGCTCCAGGCGTTCATGGCCAAGCTGGACTCGGTCAAGAAAGACGTGGAGGAGCGCATGGGCAAAAAGAGGAAGACGCAAGAGGGCCAGGACGCGGCCACACAGGCCAAGGTGCCGACGGTGGAGCCTACAGTTGCTGACACAGCGGGCCCTGCCCCAGTCGCTGAGCCACCGTCGGAGGAGATCAGGCGCGAGGCGGCGAGGCTCTCACAGGCCAAGTTCGAGGCGGTCCAGAAGGCGCAGGCCGCAGCGGACCTCAAGGGCAAGAGCGACGGCAAGGGCGCAGGCGCAGCCTCAGCTGCCCCCGCGGGCGGAGGTGCGGCTGCGGATCCTGTGCCCACAGCTGCTGCCGCTGGCGGTCCTGCAGCTGCCAAGAAGGAGTGACTATCCACGGCGGAGCTCACCAGCGCCAGCGCCGCTGTGGGCTCGGACGCCGCCACCACTACAGCGCTTGGTACCAGTACATCTACGGCCACACCAAGCGAGGTGGGTGCCACGACTGCTTCAGAGGGCTCGAGCAGTACGGCGCCTACTTCTACCACTTCTACTACTTCGGGGAGCAGTGAGCAGGGTGCGCAGCAGCAGCCAGACCTCACTGCAAAGATTTTCTTCAGTAACGTGACGTGCATGGGCGACAAGGCCTGGGGGCGCTTGACCGAGCTCAGCGACACGCACGACTACCTGGGCGTCTGCGAGACGCATGTTAGCAAGCAAGATACTCGGAAATGGATTGGCAAAGCTAAAAGTTCATCACTGCGCCTGCTCCACAATGGGGCCAGGCCCAAGTCTCGCTATGCCAAGGCTGATCAGCAGCACTCCAATGAAGGCGGTGAGTGGCTGCTGGCACGCAATCATCGGCCTGTTCGCATGCTCGACGCCGCCCTCATGAGTCCCCAACTTCAGGCTGAGCGTGGAGGAGTCCTGGATGGGTTTCTTCCATGCCTTTTGGACATGAAGGGCTTCACGCTCGCTGTGTTCATTTACTACGGCCTTTCCGGCCATGTTTGTTTGGGCTTTTTGTATGTTTTTTTATTTTTTTTTTTTTTTCTTTGGTTTTTTTTTTTTTTGTTTTTTATCTTTTGGTTTTTTTTGTTTTTATTTTAATGTTTTTTATTTTTTTTGTTTTTTAGTATTTTTTTATTTTTTTTTTTTTTTTTTTTTTTTTTTAATTTCGTTTTTTTTTTTTTTTTTTTTTTTTGATTTTTTTGTTTATTTTTTATTCTCTTTTTTTTTTTTTTTTTTTTTTATTTTTTTTTTTGTTTTTTTTTGTTTTTTTTTTTATTTTTCTTTCTTATGCTTTATATTTTTTTTCACTTTTCCTTTTTCTGTTATTTTTTTTTTTTGTTTGGTTATTTCTTTTTTTATTTGTTTTTTTTATTTTTTTTTTCAACACATGAGAATGTGAATCGTTTCGCCAAGCTAGGCAGCGTGCTGACGGCGATCCATTTGCCGTGGCTAGTTCTGGCTGACTGGA